ATGCATGCATGTATGTATGTATGTATGTATGTAGGTATGTAGGTATGTAGGTATGTAGGTATGTAGGTAGGTAGGTAGGTAGGTAGGTATGTATGTATGTATGTATGTATGTATGTATGTATATATGTGTATTGCATGGGGGTATGTCCCCAGAAAACGGCCTTTGGTTAGCCACTGCAAAATTTTGATCCATGCTCTATGCAACACGGGGGTTGGCCCAGACCCCATGCATCGCAGTATGTCGCTGTTTATGACGTGTGAAGGAACCAGAAAACCCACGATGATCCATATACGATATAGATTGGGGTATGGAACCTATGTGCATGCGCACCCTGTTCCATACCCAAACATCTTGAGAATTACCCACACTGGATTAGAATTCCGAATCACAAGCTTTTTCAGGAATTGCACGAAAGTTCTTTCAACATTTGAGCTATAGTCTAAACTCCTAGTATCCCCCTTAATAACCCCTATAGTAGTCCTATATATAATCCCCAAATATAACCCCCTTTAAGGAGTTAAGACTATGGCTCATTTGGGACGTAGAGTTTGCAAAGTGACGGCTCCCTTCTGGGGTGCGTGGAATTGGACTCGATAGTTTGGGCGTAGGCGACCATAGACTTCAAAAACGACGTTGCGAGTATAGACAGAGCTTGATAATTACAAGGGGTTTGGGGTTTATGGCGTTCTAAGAAATACATGCATCAAACCTGGTGAGCGGGCTGCCCATGGCCACATTTGCCAAGCCCAAGCCAAGTAACATAGCATGTCGCTCACCTGTGCCCCACAACCTGCAAGCCTGTCGAACCAGAAGACACCAAGAATGAGAATGGTCACATACCCCTCCCTTTCTTGTGTGTAGGCGTCAGGGATTTCCGTAGTTGTTGAAATCCCTTAGAGAAGTTAGGTTTCGGGGAAGGCCAAGAGAAAAAGTTGCTTCATATTGTCAGCTGACTACTTTTGGCTGGGAAGGGCAGGAGTCACAGACCACCTAAAACCCACCGAAATGGAAAGGGATTATTGTTATTACTATCCCACTGCTATCACTGGTATTTCGGGTATTTCTATGATCGTTACTTTTTCTATCATTGCTAGCACGCATCAAGCCCTGAAATCTGCGCGCATGGCATAGTCAGACATCAGCGACTGCAATGCCCTGCGGTTCTGCCTCAGCAGGGGTTTAGGGTTTAGGAACCCAGGGCTGCCAAGATTGTGGATTGAGAAGTGGGATCCTCCGAAGGGACTTTTTGGGCTGGTTGCCAGGCAATTTGGGTCTCATCAGAACGCGGCAGGCTTCTGTTTAAAGTAGCCGCAAGTTCTGCTCTGTACATCTAAGACCTCCACAATGCCCGCACCGCTCTTTGGCGGCAAATGGATTTGAAATTGCTAAATCAAGCACCCTTCCCCCTGAATCATGAATGTTTTCCTGGCATACAATGGTACACTATGGGATAGGGGGGGGGGACAGCGTTCTTCTACGGGGCTGGAGATTACTCCCATGCGAGTCCAAGGACGGACACTAAGAGTTCAGGGTCATCTTCTGCATCCAGAAGCCCACTGTGGGGCAGCATCAACGCCTCAAGGGTTAGGGTTGAGGGTTTAGGGTTGAGGGGTTAGGAGTTGATGGGTTTTGGAGGGTAAGGGTTTAGGGTATTTGAGGGTTTAGGATTTAGGAGTTTAGGGTTTAGGTACAGGGGCAGTCTCCCACATCCCCAACTAGTGCATCAGTAAGCTTCCCTAAGCCCTAAGCCCTAAACCCTAAACTCTAAACTGTAAACCCTAAGTCCCTAATCCCTAAACCCTACGTCCCTAATCCCTAAACCCTATACCCTACGTCCCAAAACCCTATTGCCCTGCTGAGGATGCTACAATCTGCCATGCGAAGTCCAGCGTTTCCAGTGCTTTCTCTCGCAGCTGCCCAACAGTGGAGTTGCGATTGCAAAGGAAAACAGCAATGTCGTGTCCTGGGAAGGGAAGATGTAGGGTTTAGGGTTTAGGGTTTAGGGTTTAGGGTTTAAAGTTTAGGGCATGGGGGCTCTGAGAATGAGTGGATATGGGGGCTGCAAATATATTCTTGTCGCAGGTATCGGAGCACCTTTGGGAGTCTCTACAAGCAAGAAAAATGTTACCACCAGCCTGCCATCCCCTTGCACTGAACTTCCAGCTCGTCTCCAAGCCAAGCTCCCTGGAGGGTTCACAGCATAGGGTTTAAGATAAATCCCAATACCCTCCGTAAGTACTCACAACTTTCGATCCTATAGCCCCCACTTGAGGGTGCCTGTATCCTAGATGCTCCTTGAACCCTAAACCTCACTAAAAATGTCCTCTAGAACCCCTCATTCAAGGGTACTTTCAGATTCGAGGACCAGACTGGGGAGTTGGTCCAGTCTTTAGGATTCAGGGTTTGGGGTACTATGGGTCCCAGGCTAGGTTTAGGGTTTAGGGTTTAAGGTTTAAGGTCTAGGGCTTATTATAAAACACTTGTGTTTTCCATGAATGTCGTGAAGGATATTATCAAAAGTACCTGATTTAAACTTGGGTTGCTCCCGACCCAGGTTCCAATTAGTCAATGCAAAACATGTTCCTGGAACCTTGGCACATGGCCACATGAACTCTTCTATGGGCACATGGGAGACAAGAGAAATATGGGATAATGGAAAATAAAATGGAAGCTACTACACTATATTGGGGTTATATAGGGGTTATATTGGGATCATGGAAAATAAAATCCAACTTAGTTAATTAGGCGACCTTACCTTCTAAACAAACTCTTTAAATTACAGGTTAGTTGCCGGTGCAACCCCCCAAAAGGTATTTGGAGGCGGTCCTATTATATGACCCCTTTGATCAGAAGCCCATAATTCTTCTATGGCCCCACCTGTCCCTTAACCCTAAACCCTGAACAACCCTAAACAAACTTAAAACCCTGTTTTACCCTAAACCAGGGCTTAGGGTTCAGCGTTTGGGGTCATTGGGATCCTGAAGGCTTATGGATCCCTAGACTAGTGCCTGTGTAACCTCTCGGATAGTTCCCATAGTTACTTCCATCCAATTCCCCTACTCTAGCCTCAAACCCTTTAAACCCTCAGCTAGACCTTTTAACCGTAAATCCGATAACTGTTAGACGTCAAAGCCCCAAATTCTCAGCCCTAATCTCCGAACTTAAGCCGTGAACCCTTAAACCCTCCAACAGGCCCCCCCAAGGACGCGAGGCCCTGCCTGAAGGAGCAGCGCCAGGGTACGCCGAGTCGGCGTCGGCCGCAGCTTAATCTCCCCTTGGCCATGCACTATTGAAGGTCTTCGGTTTGGGGGGGTTGAGGGTTTAGGGTTGAGGGTGTTAGGGTTGAAACCCTCAACCCTAAACCCTGGTTTAGGGTGTCAGGGTTTGTTTGGGGTTTGGTGTATAAGGTGTAGGGTTTTTCCTCACTCCTTTTTCGACCAGGCTTAGGGTCTAGGGTTGTTGGGGTGTAGGGCTTACAGGCATCTATAGGATTCATTAGGAACTTTTAGGTGTTAGGGTTTGGGGTCTTGGTGTTCTATCACGTTAAGGGTTTAGGGGTTGGGGGTTAGGAGTTTCGGGTTGGGGGTTAGGGGTTAGGGGTTTGGGGTTGAGGGGTTTAGAGTTGAGGGTTTAGGGGTGTAAGGTTGAGGGTTGAGAAATATCCAAACACTTGCTGGTGCTTAACGCAAGTACCTCGGATTCTGGAAGCTCATCCTGGGATACCTACCGTAGAACTCACACGGGTATGTCCAAAACTAGGGGTCGCCCCACCCTTTACCCTTAGCCCCTTATTGCAGTGACCCACTCCTTGTTCTTGGAACCCTCCCCCCTTACAGTTCCACATGGGTAGTTCCCAAAGTTAGGGTGCCATTTTGGCACCTCTAGATATTAGGTGCCAAAATATAGTTCATAACCAGAAGAGGCCCATAATTTTAAGAATATCCCACATGCAACTGCACAACCCATGGGCTGCTCTGTATTAGAAACCATCGCAAAGTCCAAGATGAATCTTCTGAACCCGGTCGAGCATGACGCGTCTTCCCTTGCAAACATCTCTACTGGGGGTTAGCAGGGAATAAAAGAACGTATTTTATAGGGATTATATGACCTATAGTCTAAACTCCTAGTACTACTCCCCTATATAGTCTCCTATATAGACCCTGTAAGGAGTTTAGACTCTAGCTCATATAGAGAATATAGCCCTTCTTCTGTAGTATGTACCAACTCCGAAGGTGGGGGTGTGTGTTGCGAGTACGAGCCTATAATCCCTAAACCCCAAACCCTAAAACCTAAACCCTATAACCTATAGCCTATAGCCTATAGCCTATATATCTCCACTGAATGTCCACGAGTTCAACTGCGACAAGCCATTCGGCCCACGGATCTGCGCGAACAAAGCTAAAGGCTTGGCACTAATATAATGTAATACAGTATAATATAACATAATATAGTATAATGTAATAGAATATACTGTCATATAATATGATATAATATAATAACCCTAAACCCTAAACCATTGTTGTTTCAAGAAAAATTCTAAACTTCAAGCTGAGCCCTGGACGCAAGCAGATCCAATAGTTGTGGGACTCAAGCCTCTTGCTGCGGACCGATCCTCCCAAAGGGTTTGGGGTTCAGAGTTGTCTCGCATGGTCTTTTGTAGAAAGTACAGGAGGAGATACCTATAACAACCGCCATAATAATCCCAAGACAAACCCCCCAAAACGATTCTTGCTCAAGACATGCTAACCAGAAACACATCGTCAGTCTCGCTCTGTTGGCATGAACAGGCAGGGACAGCAGGGACGTAGGGTTGTATACCCTAAGTCCTAAATCTCTTTTTCAGACGCTCCTCTTAAAGTATGCCTGCCAGCGACAGGGCAATCCCAGTAGAGAATGTGCTCGTGAGGACGAGCAGTGTCAAGGCTGTACTGGTCGACTTCGCCAATGAGAGCTCCATCCATGTAGACACTCAAGATGCCATGATGGGGATTGCAACCTCCACGGAAACCTGAGGAATATAGGGGCCTGAGGAACTAGCATCATCATGTTGAGGTCTATTTGAGGTTCCCTCTAGTAGTATAAGTAAATAGCAACGGCCTAGACTCATAAGATTGGGAGTTTTTCAGGCCCGTACACTATGCCGCATCCCCAGCTTGGGACTACTCCCTGCAAGGAATGCTGGTCAAAGTTGACTGGGTTGCTGTTAAGGAACTTAGATTAAGTTACTATAATGGGTATATATACTAAATAATAAGGTTTCGCCAATATAGTAACTTAATTTAAGTTCCTTAACAGCAACCCAGGTTGACTGGACAAACGGCGGAGGCGAAAAGGTTTGTTTTCCAAGGAGAAACTAACTTTAGGCTGCC